GCGACGAGATCCATTCATAGGTCGAGCAAAGCCAAAGTCAGCAATCATGACTTCAGCACCAGGAGCTGACGTCTTGAGCAGTATATTTTCCGGCTTGAGGTTACGATGAATAATCCCACGCAAGTGAAGATAGTCAATCGCACTTGCCAGCTTGCACATGAGAGCACGTGCATCCTCTTCCGTATAGCTTTTGCGTTTGACCAGATCGTCAAATAGCTCACCACCTGTACACAGTGGCGTGACAATGTAATACCAGGCTCTCGCACGACGCTGGCAGGCTGCGCAGCATCGTCGTACACATCCTCTTCATTTGACAGACTAACAAAATCAAAGCTTTCTCTGTATAAGTGCATGACCGCCAAGTTGCAGTTGGTAGACCGAGTCTGACAAAATTATTCATATATGAAGATAGATATATTTTTTCCATAGGTCTGTTCCCGTATAAAGAAGACAAGCTTGATAAATCCTGACAATATCAATTTGATAGAACTTGGCACCTAGTTTGCTATTTTTTAGAATTAAGTTTGGATTTGATTATTAATATTAATCTAAAATTGATACTTGATATTTCTGTTTTACTGATCTCTTGGTTACGAAACTCTATCATCTTCATTTGAACCAGAGCTTCGCTGGCGCCTTGCCACCTGATTTCAAAAACGACATATATCCAGGATGGAAATATTTATTGTGCCTCGATTAACGCCAATTTTATTCTCTGTGCGTGGTACGCTTTTTAAACAGTTCATTCGTAGCCAATTGTCTTGATTCGTCTGAGTTATCTAACTGTTTTATCTAGCTCTTCTTGTCCAATACCAATGTTAGCTTTTACATTGTTGCAGCCTTCACCCATCAGCGCTATCCAGAAAAGCGAGTTGCTACAAATAATTTATGGCGATCTCTTTAAAAGTGGTATTGTCAGCGGCCCTGAAGAGCTTTTTGGCGATAAATAGATCCAAGTTTTCAGCATCGTTTAAAACGGATTTAATCATTCGCTCATATTGGTCGCGGCCTTACAGCGTGTATGTAAAGCTCAACAACGTATGCGAATTCAGTCAGCGGCTCTCCCCACAGGATGCTTGAGATTGATGATTTGTCAAGCAAATGATTCCAGGAGGCAGGTTTGCTGTGGAGGTTCGCACCTTCCAACGATGTCGCTTGCATCGAAGAGCTCGAGACTATATAATCAAAAATCATCCTTTTGACTCGCTCGAGTAGTTGTGAACTAGTGACAAAGAAAGCCAACACGTTGTCGTGCATTGCAAGTAACATATTGTGATCACTGGCAAAAGTTGAAGTTATTCCAAGCAAAGCGAACCTCGGTGTTCCTGTCCACGTATTTTTTCCAAAGATATTTTTTTGTCTTTGAGTCCAATCCATCAGAATAACTTAAAAATCCTTTCAGACACGTAATAAATGGTACATTTTTATACTTCTTGATTTTTTAAGATGTCTACGAGACCTCAAGACACAGAAAAGCCTTTGCAACCTCCCTTGGCTCGACTATCGTTACGTCGTTTCAACTTGGCACTTCAGTAGGTTGTTCGTTTGCGAATTCAATCTTATTACCGCTTTGAAGTTGTTTATGATCCCACCGTTCCGTTTTGCTTATGCAAGCAGTGGTATCATTGATAGTTTGAATGACAAACCTTGTTAAGAAGGTAAGGTTATCAGCTAGTATCCTTCGCATTCCTGTAGTATACAATGATATAATAACTTACATCTACATTTCAAAAGATGAGATTAAATATTGATTGCAAGTTCTTAAGCTTTGCTGATGCTTCTATGCTCATCCACAACGTCGAATCACACAGTTGTCGAGGTAAGTTATCTGTTGTATACCAATAACATTCGGATCCTTATGGCGCGGCAATGTACGTCAAGAATCGTTTATGTCTCGTCTGGGTAGGTCAGGAATGTTCCTATCTTGGAATAAGTCATGTCGTACGTACATAAATAAGCTCGATGGCTGGACACCCAGTTTCCAGACAACACTCACTATCTGGTAAAATAGCTTTCTAGATGAGGTTCACACTGCCCAAAAATATCCTGCCATCTGTCACGTTATCCGATGAGCAACGAGATGCTTTGGTCAAAGAAGCAGATACTGCCGTACAAGAGCTTGTTGCAGCGAATGAAAGATTTAATTCTCAAGGATGTACGCTTGCGTATCCCGGCTGGAAACTCGTGCGTGCAAAAGACGGAGTACAAGTCTATCGGCAGCGACAAAGAGCAATCAAGCGGAAAGAATCGGCATCGTGCATGCCACCAGTACTTCAAAGTTCGTTTCAACTAAAAGAAGACGAATACTGTCGATTTCACACATCAAGCAGCTGTAGCATTATTGACGTTGGTTCTGAAAACGACACGGTATGTTCTTCTATGTGTGGTATTTCATCTGACAGTCTCATGGAAAAAATGAGACCACCTGGTGTGGCCCTTATGGCTTTACAAGGCGTACTGGATGGCACATTAGACGACTGTATGTTTGGCTCTGTCGCAACTACAGATGAAGCGTGGATGCTGCGTAGCTCACACATCAGTGACCGTTTCGACGATGCTCGAATATTAGCAACACTTCGAGGACCAACTCGTACCGATCCCAGTCAATTTCTGGGAGTCAAGTGGTTTTTGAAGGAGCATCCAATCATATTTGCAGGGATCGTCCAGCAGCGTGATCATCTCATTCTTGAGTCCACGGGCTTTACGAACTACTCAACAGGCGAAAGAGTTGGCTACATGCTCCTGCATTCAATCAAACTACGGGATATTCCGGAACTTACGCATTTGGGGATTATTCGGGGAGAAATGAGTGTGTGCTACATTTTTCGTCAAGGTGGACCTGGCAAAGTTGAGATCTTTTGTCGCGGGTTCTATAACTCTCGCGGAGGTATGCCGGGTCGTTTGTCAGTGTTGATTGCCGCAGAATCTGCAATTTGCTGCACTGGTGTTGTGGACTACGCAGTTATAAAGAAGCTGCGATGGCTCATGACCCATGCGAGGAAGCGCACAATTGATACCAATCAGACGAATTCTCAATATTGTGGAGCTTGTGCGAAGAAACTCAGCACAATATCACTACCTTTAGCTCGATCTGGTGTATCTTGCAAAATTTGTTTTCAGATTGTTTGCTCAAAATGCAGCGTAAGCAAGAAAATGACTGTGTTTGTGTCAGACAACGGATCGATCCTTCAACAATCCGTGCAATTTTGTCTGCGGTGCGTACATATAGCAAAACAATCAAATGGTTGGCAGATGACGCAAAGCAATTCTAGTACATCGTCAGCATCTTTTCATTCGCTAAGCTCGTCTTGGTCAACCTCAGCGTCTCGTGTGTCCAGATAGATAACCGGCACAGTAAAAGTCGTGCCTAGTTCTCAAGTTCGTAGATACTCAATTATGGAACTTGATTATTTAAAAATTGACTTTGCCGATTTAAAAGTTAAGATAGCATTACTTGTAAGAGAAAGTATGGTTAGACTATTGACCAAGCTTTGCCATGGGTAGAAGATAGGTCATAAAATGAGTCAAATTCGCTATATGGCGACTGATAGATATCTATCCTGTGAATGAATAGTTGGTTTGATCGTCATACATTTACCTAATAAGGTGGAGGCATTTGCCTGCAAGATGCAGCGTAGATCATAAAAAAGCATTTGGGTCATTCCACCGCATCCAACAATAGGTTGTGCGTGAGGAAAATGTTGGATGCATTTGATTGCGCTGTAACGCGGATGAGTCGTGCAGTACAACCAGTCAGTCAATTGGCACATTATTTATTTCAATTGAGTGCATCATTGTGAATTTGGTCCTGCGGGTAAAATTCACAAAGATTAAGACTATTGTAGATTGGACAGTATCTCTGTCCCAAAAGACTTGAGAAAGTGGCTTGGCCTAACCGAGATCATTTACGAAGACAGTGCAATTTATGCTGATGTGGCACGGCCTCTCGCCGATCGCTTCGCGAGAATGTCAAATGGTGCTAAAATGCGGCGGGAGAGATATTTTTTCAGGTTATAAAGACATGATGCGTGCTTCTGAATCTCGATTGACCTCTTCAGGCTCTCAGGGATGCTTCATCTTTTGCCATAGGCAGTGCTATATCACAAACAGATGTCGATAGGCATGATGGTATGATCACGTTTGAAAATCGTCAGCTTCAATCGGCGTGGAAGAGCCATCCTGTTCACGACATTGAGGAACATGTGAACAAGAAGGTTCTTGTCAAATTCAAGGTGCGCTTGCGTGGCCCTGGACCGTCCATGATCTATACGTATTATACGTATCATATGCTGTTGTCCACAGCGAGGTCGTTACTACTAATATCGCAGATAATGACAAAAGATGGACAACCTCCTTTGTCTCTTATTTTCACGATAAAATAAAGTCGAGTGGTCTTAATGTAGTGGTGGATGTACGTTCGTGTCGCTCCGATTATTAGTTTTTGCATGCCACGATGGTAACGTCACTGAATGATGAGGCGTGACGTACAGCGAACAGAGCAGACGCAACATGTGCTGCATTGCGCTCCTTTATTATTTTGTGAAAAGTAGTTTGGTAGCTCATATGCCGCTATACCATGATCCGCGATCGCACGTCTGCAGCACTGTTCCTTAGTCCGAGGCTTGTTGTATCTCAGCACTAACGCACTTGTCATGCCACGAGAGCTGGTAGGATCAAGTACAAAATACTGTATGGCCCTTTGAGTGTCCACTTCGGACGAGAAAGACATACTGCTCGATGAGCGCTATGTATTGGTGGTCTTATTTGTTTAAGTGCGTAAAAACGCGCGAACGTGTAAAATGTGTCAACAAATAAAAATCTCGCATTATACGCTGACGCCTTTGGTCAGTCGGCATTTCATAGATATATTTTTTTAAGTAGGCGTCGAGTAATACCGGCATCGTGGTCTTTTTAGACCACCTGAGCACGCTGGATCAATCCCTGCTGTCAGCGATACTGTACTGATAAGAATACAAACCAGCTTTATGAAAAAACTTTGTCGCCAACATGGCTGGCCGATAGCCATCATAAGATCTGCGGTTGCGATGAAGTCTTGACAATTTGTTCAAGGTGCAAGCATTAGATTGATCATGTCACCGCTATTTACCCATAAACAGATTGTCAGACGGATTGCGTTAATTTCGGTTTGATATATCTTTTTAAAGCACTTGCGCACAGAGTCTGCAGTGCTGCACCGAGTTGCTTTCACTCATTAAGTTGGCGCTGAAGAACGCAGTACATGCATCTACAGGCTTCAACCAGATTTGAATAAATGATTTGCTCAACCTCCGGGTGCCTTTGCCACCCACACGAAGTGGCTTCGGTACTCATGGGAGGCTGTTGATTCAATCCAGCTTGCTAGTATCAGCTTTATTATATCTTGAAACAAAAGCAGCGGTTTGATACACATAAGATTGACTTTTCGGTCTCTGTGAGAGGCTACTGATACTGTCCGTTTCGCTGACATTAGCCTGATTATACTTCGAAGCAAAATCAGCGATTCGGTCATATTGAAATTGAGCGTCATGCGACTCTTTGGCCGAAGGCCAAAACGTTTAGAAGCAAAACACCGGAACCAGAGGCGGGTAAAAGACACACGAATTTGTAATGAGACAAATGTTATCATGGAGCGCAATCATCCTAGCTATAGATGCAGTGGTTGTCTACACTACAAAATTGCGACCACATTAAACCGGAGCGCTCATGGTTGTAGCAAAAAATGATATATTTACATCTCAAAGTCAATACAACCCATCCTGTTCTTCCCATTGCTAGAGCCACAACACGATCTCGCTCTGACAATGCAGCCGGAAATAGCGCGCTATTGTAGAAGATACAGCATCCCTATTATCTGGTTTCGAATGGCGACACCGTTTTAAACCGCTGATTGTGCCTCAAGCCACACATTTTGATGGCGTAGCTCAGTGCGCGTTTTCAAGATCTAATCCATCTTAGTTTTGGGCGCGCGCTGTGTCTTTCGGAGAAATTCGACATGGTACCAGTACTAAGAGGACACATAAGGGCCAGTCGCCGGAGGGCTGCCCTCCACCGACACTGCTCGATGAGCAAAGGATAGCCTACTATCAAGCATACCGTTCAATGGATCGATGAATACACCAGGGCTGTTTCCAGTATCTGGTGAAGTGAAAGTGCCCGCTGCAGCTCCTTTCGACTAAAAAGTGGCGATCGGCCTTGTAGTGATCGTAACAGTTGGTCGGTAGCTGTTACAGCTGTCTCAAGAATACAAGCAGAGTTATGATTTGCTTGAGCTGAAGGGGATGCATTTAATCTTGATGCACGCATCATGCTTTGTACATCGTCAAGCCAAGCTTTAATAAAGCTTTTGGGTGGACTTCACGATACTGATGCTCGAGTATAAAGCCTTGAGGCGGATGACGCGGAGCGTTCCTCACCCAATGCATGAATCAAATAGCGATACTATTCGGCACTCTCACCAGAGCAATGTACCAGTTGTCCTCTTCTCCTTCCCGCTACTGCATTAAGTGTAGATGATACTGGTAAGGATTACTGACCTGTGAGGTCGTAAAGCGACTTTCTAGGCCTATTTTGCTCTCGATTTGAGCGTATTAGTGTGTATGGGCTACCCCAGCGCGGCGGGAAACTAGATTGCAAAATTTCAATCATGAGGTGATCAAGCTGGCAAAAATCAGTACGACTCACGCGCTAGCAGATGGGCAAGATGGGCTCTCTGTGCCTGGTCTAGCTCGTTGATGACGAGATGGATATTGTCGTGAGTTCCACTACGGGTTGTTGCGGCACTATCTGTCGTAGTAATCGGCACGTAGACTCAACTTGTGCAGAGGGAAGAGGATCACAGCGAACACACTCGGTCGTATATTTTCAGGTGAGGGCGGATGTGTCGGATCAGGACTTTATAGCTCGCTACAACCATTCTCATCGAAAATATCTTGGCTTTCTCACCCGATATAGGTCTGAAATTTTCATCGAAAATATCTCGGCTTTCTCACCCGATATAGGTCTGAAATTTCCACCGCGAGGGTCGTGCTTTTCTCGGAGGCTCATTAAGCCTCATGTTGTGGTGTAAAGAAGTGAACTTCCAACGCAGAGAAACTCATAGGAGCAGGCGAGTGAAAGCCCAAGCGGAAATTATATTGGTTGAAAGATTTCTTTTGCGCAGCATTTTTATAGATAAGTGACTGTCACTGCTAGCGTGAGCCAAATTGGCTGGAGGGCACGTCACGGGTTGACACTTCATAGTCGGTGTGACACGAGCGTGCTTCGACCACTTCATTAAGTCCACTCGACTTTATCTTATCGCGAAATATAAGAGGCAAAGGAGGTTGTCCATCTTTTTTCATTCTCTGCTTCCATCGCAGAGAATGACAAAAGATGGACAACCTCCTTTGCTGTGGATAACGGCATACGGTACGTATAGATCACAGGGCTAAGCAGTATCGCGTTAAATTTGACAAGAACAGATTTTTGCATGTGCCGCCTTCTCGTGAACAGGACGATTCTTCCATGCCGATATAGGCTGACGAGATTCAAACGTGATCATGCGTTCATGCCCATCGGCATCTGCTTAAAGTATAGCACAGCCAACGGCATAAATGAAGCCATCTTGACGGCCTAAAAAGGCCAATTGATATTCGAAAGCGGCATGCATCATGTCTATTTATAATGGACACCCTCCCGGCGCATTCAAGCACCATTTGACATTCTCGCGAAGCGATCGGTCAAAGGCCGTGCCATATCAGCATAAATTGTACTGTATTTGTAAATGATCTCGGCCAGGCCAAGCCACTTTTCAAGTCTTTTGGGACAGAGGAAGTGTCCAATCTACAGTACTTTTATCTTTGTGAAATTCACTTTCAGGACTTTCTCCACAATGATGCACTCAAATGAGATCTATAATGTGCCAGTTACACGCTTGTCTATGTTCACGAAAGCAAACAAAGCGAGCACTGCTCACAAGTATTTACTGCATTTCCCCTTATCCGACTTCCGTGCTCTGTTCGACAATTTACGGATACGTCGTCGAAATAGGGTTGTGCATAATCACGATTAGTTGCTTTACCGGATATATCGACATTGCTGGTACATTAGAGAATACTTGTGGCAAAACCAGCCACTCTGAAAGATTTTCACTCGGAATAGTCAGCGGAGTGATAGAAATTAGGCTACTCCAAATCGCAGTTGATTATACATACCAAACGCTGAAGAATGTTAACCGAAAATGTTGATCTGCAGCACGTCCTCATAGAATATCGGTGTTTGCACCAGATTTGTGGCTGCAATTAGGTAATTATTGTCGTGTATTCAGCTGGAACCGTCAGTGCCTACGCATGCGGCGAGAATAT